AAATACCACTAATTTGTTCTTTTCAATGAAATCAAGAAGGACCTAGAATAGACAGGCAGCACATCCTCCCTTCATCACTGAAATGACAGAAGTATTTGAAAGCACTTATGCTGGGAAGCCCAAATGCAAGCACAAGTGTATCAAAGAGAAAATCTACAAAAGAAAACTCCACAAATTCTGCCTGTACAAGGGCTAAAAGCACAAAGAAGAAATTGGACAAAAACACATGGTACCATATACACCAACCAGCTAACAAGCAAGGAAAACTGGTTCCTAACATAGCGGTTTCAAACTTAAGAATTTCTTAAGTCAAATGCCTAGCACAACTCATTCATTATACTGGCTTTCCCTTTAAAATCTCCGCAGGCTGGTGAATCACTTAACTGGTAAAATCAACTTACAGCATTATTCTCCCATCTCCACATTTGCAGAGGAATGGGTATAAGCAACTAGCACCCAGTAATGAAAGAAATGGGGTGAGGGAGGGTAAAAGTAGCCATTTTGAAGCAAATAACTGAACTGAACAATCCTCTTCCTGGTTCAATGACTAAATGGAGAAAGCCCAAAGAGAGTACTGAAGCCTCCCCTCAACCACAAAAGAGATAAAATTATGAGTTCAGATGAGTGGCTGCCAGGGCTTAAACATGGGGAAAGGATGGAAAAATAAAAGCCTAGTATGTAAAGGAGGGTTTTGGGGATGATGAAACTGTTCTGTATCCTAACTGACATGGTGGTTACACAAATCTACATGTTAAAATTCATAGAGCTGTACACACCTCAAAAATGAATTTTACTGTATGATTTAAAAATATACATATTTTAAGTATACACAAATTCTTATAGGAGCCTTATTTACATTACCCCCAAATGGAAAACACCCCAAGTATTCTTCAAATGATTAATGGAATAAACACAGTGGTCCATCCACGAAATAAAAAACTAACTAGTAATAAAAAGGAACAAAAAGTTGAGCTATATGATATAGATTTGCAAAGATACCACACTGAGTAAAAGAAACAAGTCTTAAAAGATGATATAGTACATAATTCCAATTATGACAATATGGAAAATGTCGCATAGGGACAAAGAACCAATCCGTGGTTCAGTAATAAGAGGGAGAGAGAGGGCTTGTCTAAAAACAGGTCAAAGAAATTTTTTTTTTGAAACAGAGTTTCGCTGTTGTTACCCAAACTGGAGTGCAATGACACGATCTCAGCTCATCACAATGTCTGCCTTCTGGATTCAAGCAATTCTCCTGCCTCACCCTCCTGAGTAGCTGGGATTACAGGCATGCGCCACCATGCCCAGCTAATTTTTGAATTTTTGGTAGAGACGGGGTTTCGCCTTGTTGACCAGGATGGTCTCAATCTCTTGACCTCGTGATCCACCTGCCTCGGCCTCCCCAAGTGCTGGGATTATAGGCGTGAGCCACCGCACCCAGCCAAGGTCAAGGAAATTTACAATTTTATTATATGTAATTTTTTAGAAGAAAAAAATATAAAAGTACGTTTCTAAAAATAATAAGTACAAAAAGCAGACATAAGTTTTAAACACAGCCCTTTGTGCATAATAAAATTAAGATGAACTCTAGGATCAAGAGATTCCATTAAGAAAACCGAGTTAAGAGGGAGAGCTGAATGTGCTAACAGAACAAATACTATCAATGAAGAATGCAAAACCTCACAAATCACAGACATGCACATGAAAAATAAGAAAGGACAAAAATTCAAATCATCCAAATGAAGAGAAAAAGAATCAAGAACCAACAGCACTCAAAGACAAAGATTCAACATTATTTGTTGACATTAATAGAAAAAAGTGGCCTACAGACAATGAATTAAAGAAAACAATAGTCATATTGTACATGTTTCACATTTACATTCATAATGTAAAAACCAAGAAAAATCTTTTGTGCACACACCACAAAAACAGCTATTTACAAACAAAAAACATAGGCTGGCCTCAGACTTTTCCATAATATAAACATACAACTATAGAGCAAACCTATTTACAGTACTTGAAGTGAAAAGGCTGTTGATTAGAAAGAATTCTATACCCAGCTAAATGGTTATTTACATATTCTGACCAAAGACATTTTATGGATCCGAAAGGCCAATAACAGTCAAATAAGATTCAAAATAGAGCTGTCAAAGGTGTGGTAGGCATTAAAAAGGATGGCAGCAATCTGACAAAAGAAAAATTTCAGCCAAATTAAATTTAAAGGAGATTAATTGAGCAATGAATGTGATTCACAAATCAAAGAGCCAGCCAGAGTAGGCTCTGACACTCCAGTGTAGCCCTGTGGTGAAAAATTTATGGACAGAAAAAGGAAAGTGATGGGCAGAAAAAGGAAAGTGATGTACAGAAAACGGAAGTGAGGTAAACAGCTAGACTGCTTACAGGTTGGCATTTGCCTTATTTGAATAGCTGGCTACATTTGATTCAGCCAAAACTTGGTGATTGGCACACAAGAATAGGTTATGGTCTGTTTACATCTCTACTTGTTACAGTTCGCCATGTACAGAGAAACCTTTAGGCTGGACCTTAAGGAAGCAGCTTTAGGACAAACTTGATTTAACAAAACAATAAAAGCGTAAAATTGAAGTTTAAATCACTGTTGCGTATATGGCTACAATATACATCATAATATAGCTACAATATATACCTGTCATTAAAAAGTTTCTGAAACAGCTACATAATATTACATACCAAATACATTGTAACAAAACAAGGATTAAATTTTCAGGTTGGGAAGGGAAAAAGAAGACATACAAGACTAGTGGTGGATGTAAGAAAAGTTGGTATTTCCTTGCCATGTATCTTTTCTCCTAGGTAATCTCATCCCACTTCCATGCTGTTAACTGTTTAAGAACAAAAGGCCCCCAAATCTGTGACTCCCACATCTAACTGCCTAATCAGAGATTTTGCTGCCTATATTTCTAAAAGGTATCTTAAAATCATACAACCCAAAAATGAAGTCTTAACTTGCATCCCATCTTTCATGCCCCAATTCATTCCTCCTGATGTGCTATTTGTAATGGCAGTTACAATATGACCACTTACATGACTGCTAAACTGAAAAATTCAGTAGCTACTTTTGATCCCATTTCTCTTATTTCCCACATTTAAGTCGGAGAAAACACAATTTAGCAACCCATCTAAAAAGTTCCAGCAGAGCCTTAAAGTCATTTGTACTAATTTCTCCAAAGCAAAGTTTCTAACAATTCAACACAGCAATCACTCGCACCAGAATCACCTGAGGTGTTTCTATTTTAAAAAATACACTACAAGGTCCTTTATCAAATATGTCAAGGGATGGGTCTCAACAGTCTGCAATTTCAATAAACACCCCAACTAATACTTATGTGCCTTAAGGTTTGGAAATTACTGCTCTAAGGTCATTATTCCAACACCTTCCTCCCCCGCCCCCGCTCCCACCTCAGGAATGTTGAGGCACTTCTCTGCTGCACACAACCAAGACGACAAGATACTTAGCTTCACACACAGAAACAAATCACTGATATTTTACATACAAAGAGTTAAATTACCTCTTTATCTTAATGTCTACATAGGAACAAGCATTCCATAAGAACATCTTTTCCATAGTAACAAGCATTATTTATTGGAGGAGCTTCTAACTTTACTAAATTAGAACTACTAAGTTTCAAAACAAATTTAAATGTATCCCCTATGGAAAAGCCCATACATTTTTCTCTTTCTACCTAATATAGGACCCCAATTTTATGTTACAGTTTGGAACAGAAAACAGTTCCCACTCGGCCTTATTCTCATGGCTCCTGTGATCAAAGTCTGGCCAATATTAGGGGAGCTGATCCCCATATGGGCCACTCAATAGGATATTTTTTAAAAATAAAAAGAAAAAAAACTCTGGCCAATATAATGGAAAGATAATCAGCATGTTTTACTTCAGGAATATCTTCCTCAGTCTTACAAAGGGTATATAACAGAATTAGGAATCAAATTCTGCAGAGCCTAAATTTTGTACAAGTGCTTAAATATAAAAATATTTGAAGAGTTTGTTTTAAAAAATCTATTTTATTTCTCACAGACACATTTGAGTAAGACTTTATTTAAAAGTTGTTTCATTCAGCAGATCACTTTCCTGAGTAATATATAAAAAAAAAAAGTTGTTTAAGCTAGGTGCAGTGGCTCATGTCTGTAATACTAACATTTTGGGAGGTTGAGGGGTGGGGACAGATCCCTTGAGCTCAGAGCTCAGGAGACCAGCCTGGGCAACATGGCAAAACCCCCATCTACAAAAAAATACAAAAATTAGCTGGGTGTGGATCGCTTGAGTCCAGGAGAACAAGGCTGCAGTGAGTCATGTTCACAACATTACACGACAGCCTGGGCAAGAGAGACCCTGTCTCAAAAAAATAAGATATAAAATAAATAAAAATTGTTTCAAGTGCCAGGTTCAGTGGCACACGTCTGTAGTCCCAGCTACTTGGGAGTCTGAAGCAGGCGGATTGCTCAGGGCTCAGAATTTGAGGCTGTATGCCATGACTGCACCTGTGAATAGCCACTGCATTCCAGCCTGAGCAACACAGCACAATGTCATCTAAAAAAAAAGTTGTTTGGTTCAAACTCTAAACACATTTTCTCCTATGTTAGTATGATTAATAATATTGATTAGAGCCGCTGGTTAGCTCATAAAGTCTGTTTAATTACAAATGCCAAAATTCATTCAGCATCGATAAACATCGAGGCCCAATGGCCTTTATCATCTAGGGAGTATGAAGAATGAGCAAGAGGCAAATTCAGTTTAAGAGTTACCCTGGGGAAGGAAAGCAGAAATGGTTCATATATGGCACACACAGACACCTTCCAGTGTGTTTGTAGGGTTGTTTCTTAAGTAGTTGGTTTCTTTCACAGAATGTTCTTAAACTCAGAATACTAAGAGGCATTAAGAGAATACCCATCCATGCACCCCACCAGCAATACAAGGACCCCAAACAGAACAATTACTATATTCTTACCCTACGCATGGCTTCCTCCTCTTCTTGACGCTTTTCGTAATGTGCAAAGTCATCAAAGATTGAGGTGGTATGCTTGAAAGTAGCAATTATTTTAAGCACTTGCTTAGCTTTTTCTAGGGGTACCTCTTGAGTGTCCCTTGAATTGGTAACCGGTTTGTTGTCATTATTTTCTAAGCGAATATGCCGTAATTGGTTATTGGGAACATCTTTGACAAAGATCCATTTAACTTCAAATTTGCCCTTCCACTTATCCTGAGACCAGACACCAGCATATGCATTATAGTCCACAACAGACTTCATTTCAGCCACTCCACAAAAATGTCCACTGCCATTCACACTGAAGAGTAAATAGAGTGGGCCTTTCCCATTCAGGGAACGGTAAGCTGCATCCAAACGCTTATTACCATGCTCAGTACTACACCAAATAGAGTATTTAATGGAACGATGTATGTCATCCTCAGAGTAGCTTTTAATTATAAACACACGTCCATTCTTCAGATTCCAATCAAAGTCTTTGGGATTATAGTTGTTTATGGCCTTTAGCTTTTCCAGCACAGGATGCACTTCTACACTAGAAGGTGAAGCACTGACGGGTACAACACCTAAACCAAAGTTTTCACTGCCTGCTCCATTGTTCTGGTTGAAGCCCGCTCCCCTGTTCCGAGGAGCTACCCAGCGATTCTGCAGCTGCTGCTGTTGAGGCTGCACTTGGTGAGGCTGGGCCTGTGGCTGAGGTCCTTGTTGCTGCTGTGGTTGTGGTGGTTGAGGCTGCTGTTGAGGCAGTTGGCTTTGCACCAATGGTGGTGGTTGAATTAATGGCTGAGGCTGCTGGATTATAGTTTGAGGAGGCAGAACTGGTTGGGTTGGTGGAGCCTTTACCACTGACCCTTTTTCATCCCAAGTTCCAATATTCATGTTGTGTTTTATAGGAGGTGGTGGAACAGCAGAACCCCCAATTCCCACATTGCCCTTGGGTTTAAGTTTCGGTTGAGGTTTGGCAGGCTTTCTGGCAATCGCAGCCCAGGAGGTTGGTTTAGGTGCTGCACTACTAACTGGGGGCACACTATTGGCTGCAATGCTAGTCATACCACTGCTGCTCAAAGCTGTACCTACAGTTTTTGTCACTGCAGCTGTCAAGTCACCACCAATTTTCAGTCCAGTCATGCCTTGCTCAATACTGCTAATGCCAGGCACCTTACTCAAAGTATCATTGCCAAATCCAGCCTGTCCATCAGTAATAGCTCTCCCAAGAGAACTAGGTGGATAGCCATAACTGCTACTATAAGCAGAACTTTGTGTTGATTGTCCCTGAGATCCACTTGTCCCCCATGTAGAGAAATCAGCATTACCAGGAAAAAAGTTAAATCCATGTTGACCAAGAAATGGAGGGGTATTTCCTAATGCCCCAGGTTGACTAAACACACCATCAGGTATATAGTGATGTTCTCCATTACTCATTTGTCCATAGGTTGTCAGATATGGCATAGGCTGGTCTCCAGCCGTGGACCACGCTGCTTCCCCAAGAGAATATGGAAATCCAATGGATGGAGCATAGTAACTAGGCATGTATGGATCTGACATTGGTGGATAGCTGTTACTCTGCAAAACAAAATATCATAATCAGTAGCGAAATGTCCTCTTAAGAGGGCAAAAAAAGACATCTGAAAGACTGAAATCAAAAAGTGATAAGTAAATGAAAAAAAAGATGTATCAATTTTAGATTAAAAAAATTAAAATTTCAAATTTGATTTTATCAACAGAAAAATTTGCTGATGAGTATTCACATCTTTAAATATTTCTTACAAAATAAACTATAGGGCTTTTTTCAGGGATGAGAGTAGGGGTATGAGTATTATTTTTGTTTGAAGAGCCAGGTCCTCTGGCACAATTTAAAAATACTGTAATTTCTACAGAAGGCTAATATATAAACTCTGTGAACACAAAATTGCCATTTACACAGTCTGCTGTACTTTAACCAATCAATGTATTCAATCACTTACATGCAAGGATTAAATAAACTAGAAAACTTTGTCAAATAACAGAGGAATTAAATTGCAGCTTATCTATATGATAGGGCCAGTTCAGCCATTAGATTTTGTACTTCCATTAAGGAAAAAGTGGAGAAATGCTCACATTCTGAGAAGATTCAAGATGTCTATAGCATGATCCAAATTTCTTTCTGTTTTGCTTTGCCTTGTTCATTTCAAAAAAGAAATAAAACAAATTCCTTATCATAGTTTCTTATTGGTGGAATAACAGACATGTTTTTTCCTTATACTCACCTTTCCCCCAAATTTGACACAACAAACCTATATTACAGACATTTTTTAATTGATAGTTCATGTAAATTTTCCACAATTATTGCAATTAAATCAAGCTTCATTATAGCCATCATTTAGTGAAGTGCCAAAAATCAAGGCACCAAATTTTATTAAAGAAAAAGAAAGCTCAAATTTGTTACTAGACAATATAAAAATAGAATACTTTAAAGTATTTTAAATACTTATTTCCTTTGCATTAAGTTTCTTATGCAAAAAAAAAGTCTAAACTAGATTTTCGATTTTTGATTTAGGTGCGCTTTTATTCTTTTTTTGAAAGTCTTACTCTGTAGCTCAAGCAGAAATGCAGCAGCACGATCTCAGCTCACTGCAACATCCAACACCTGAGGCTCAAGCAATCCTCCCATCTTAGCTCCCAGAGTAACTGGGACGACAGGTGTTCACCATCACACCCACTAAATTTTTAATTTCTGTAGAGATGGAGATTTCACCACATTGCCCAGACTGGTCTTGAACTCCTGGGCTCAAGCAATCTTCCTGCCTCAGCCACCCAAAGTGTGATTTAGGTGTGATTTTAAAGCACTATACAGAGCTTCACAATTTGTAGAATTATGCAAAGTGAAAAAAATTCACTAATATTGTCAGTACAACTGGTATTACCTTTCAAGGGTCAATACCATTTTGAAGGTTTATTATTTAATTTATATAGACATTCTTATTCAAAGTTCCTTGGAGTAAAGTTCTTTACCGATTTCTTCTATTGTTACACTCTTGCCACTATTTCGTGGCTGCTTTTCCATTCATGAATGTGTGACAATAACATCATAGATCCTACCTGGAACTAATTTTAAATAAACTATATTTGAAAAGGCTTATCATTGAAAACAGATGCTTTATTACTAAGCTACTTGTTTTACTATTAAGTTACCCATGGTATATCTATCCAACTCTTGTGACTATCGACTGTCTGTAAGAAAGTTAACATAGTTCTCTTAGGAAATGATTCTCTGATATGACTAAAATAACTTAAGAACTAAATATAATGTAACAGAGGTTACATTTAAATTAGTAATTCTTTCAAAGATGTACTGGCTATTGTGGGTAAAGTTTGGACTTAAAAACCAAAAAATTCACCTCTCACTTTTTAAAAGAAAATCACAAAACCATTTTTCAAATATACTGGATGTTAAGTGTATTTTACGGTACAGTCATTGGCAGACTATGTTGCTTTTTTATTTGTATCATTTTTTATTGTTGTATTGTTATTTGTTTTTCCAACACAATCAGCCCTTCCTATCAGTGGGTTCTACATCTGTGGATTTAACCATTCACAGATTGAAAATAGCTGGGCAAAAGAAATGAATAGTTCCATCTGTATTGAACACGTGCAGACATTTTGTCATTATTACCTAAACAATACAGTACAACCATATACATATCATTTTACACTGTATTCGGTATTATAAGTAACCCAGAGATGATACAAAGTATACAGGAGGATGCGCATAGTTTACATACAAGTACTATACCACTTTATATAAGATTCCAGAGCATCCGCAGATTTCATTATCCATAAGGGTTCTGAAACCAATCTCCCACAGATACCTAGAAATGACTGTATTTTTGATCCACAACCTGACTGAACCCATAAATGTAGGCACTGCAGATACGAAGGGCTGACTGTATTTAAAATTGGAAAATTCATGTGTTACTATTTACTCACTGAACACGTTCTTCAGCTATAATGGGTAATTAGTAACTATAATTGCAAATATAGACAAAGAATGCCCATGATATTCACATTAAAGAAATTAACAGTATTTTAAAAACTGCAATAGTAGCATCTTACAGAAATCAACACTGAAAGAACTGACTACTATATTTAAATACATCTATAAGGAAAAGCCCGAGGAAGTTCAAATACACCAACAATAGTTTTTAAAGAAAAAAATCTTGACAAAATTAATGAGTAAACTTTAGAAGCTATGAAGATGATACACACAAATGTCTATAATCACTAAAGCATCTTCTAAAAATAAAAAGTACTCATAGTGTTTCATACTGACAAAGTCATTGTGATATAAAACTCTCAAAAGTTTAATAAAAATAAGCAAAGTTCATCTAGTACAAATAAACATATGTAATTGATTAAAAGATAAAACTGGGCCAGGCATGGTGGCTCACGCCTGTAATCCCAGCACTTTGGGAGGCAGAGGCAGGCAAATCACCTGAGATCTGGAGTTCGAGACCAGCCTGGCCAAAATGGTGAAACCCCATCTCTACCAAAAATACAAAAATTAGCCAGGCATGAAGACACACGCCTATAATCCCAGCTACTTGGGAGGCTAAGTAAGACAGAATCACTTGAACCCAGGAGGTGGAGGTTGCAGTGAGCTGAGATCGCACCACTGCACTCCAGCTTGGGTGGAACAAGACTCTGTCTCAGAAAAAAGTTTAAAAAGATAAAACTGTCTACTGTCTTCATCTTTTTTTAAACAGTTAAACATATCCTTTATTCATAATTTTAACTATTTATTTCCACCTTTATTAAATGCATACATTGTAAAAAAACACTGATATAAGATACTCATTCTAAAAGAAAATCTACAATTAAATGGAAAACAAATAATACAAGGGGGTAAATCCAACACACAAATGAGTAGGAGAAGTGGGCTGAATATGGAGTTAATTGGTTTCCAAGTTTTAATTTTGATTGTTGGCAATGAAATTCAGATTCAGTAGTCTTTATATGAATGTGGGAGTACAAAAGCAGACCAAGTAGCAAGTTTTTATGTTAATTCTTTATAATAAAGCATCCACAAAATTATACTCAAAATTTATACTGAATATTCTTATTTCATCATGACAAATGCTGAATTCTACACAACAGTTACACATCAAGTTTTTAATTTGTCTACATCCATAGTGTAATTCAGGGATCAGCAAACTAAGAGGCCAACAAGTAAATCAAGACATGTTCAGTCTCTGTCACATATTTGGATTTTTTTCTTTTAACAACTCTTTTAAAGGCTGTTAGCTTAAAGCCAGACACAGTGGTTTGCACTTGTAATCCCAGCTACTCAGGAGGCTGGAAAAGGAGGATCAGTTGGGTCCAGGAGTTCGAGACCATCCTGTACCAGAGACTATCCTATTAAAAAAAAAAATTAGCCAGGCATGGTGATGCATGCCTGCAGTCTCAGTTATTTGGGAGGTGAAGTGGGAGGATCACTTGAGCCCAGGAGTTCAAGGCTATAGTGAACTATGATCACACTACTGCACTCCAATGTGGGCTATAGAGCAAGACCCTCTTCTCTTAAAAAACAGTAACAACAGGGCCGGGCACAGTGGCTCAAGCCTGTAATCCCAACACTTTGGGAGGCCGAGGTGGGTGGATCACAAGGTCAAGAGGTCGAGACCATCCTGGTCAACATGGTGAAACCCCATCTCTACTAAAAATACAAAAAATTAGCTGGGCATGGTGGTGCGTGCCTGTAGTCCCAGCTACTCGGTAGGCTGAGGCAGGAGAATTGCTTGAACCCAGGAGGTGGAGGTTGCGGTGAGCCAAGATCAGGCCATTGCACTCCAGCCTGGGTAACAAGAGCAAAACTCTGTCACACACACAAAAAAAAACAGTAACAACAAAAACCACACATAAACAAACAAAAAAAAATTGAAGTGCTTCAAACTCCTGAAGTGACTTGACTTTAACAACAAAAAGTTAAGACATGTTCACTAATTTTAATGCTTGCACTATGCTATATACTATCTCCTATTATAATTTTCAAAAAGCATAATTTATGCTTATCTAATCATAAGAATATCATAAGAAAAAAATATCATGATAATATTCAATCTCAGTATTTCACCAACTATAATTCTTCATTCTCTAATTCTATTAGATAACCTAATCCATTCATTCACTTAATAAATAAATAATGAATGTTTTATGTGCCAGATACTGTGCTGGTTACTGGAGACAAAAAATAAAGAACATAATCTCCAACTGAGAGCACTTCACAGGTATAGTAAGTAAGACTTACCTATCCTATAATGTGATAGCTACTCTGCCTGAAGGACAAAGAAAGCAAAACAAAACACTTCTTAAGTACAAAGAAGAGGGAGTAAGTAACTGGAAAATCAGAAAAGATTTCCTGAAGGAAGTGCCTAGGAGTGTGTACACGTGTTTGTATAAGACATATACACAAAGATTGAGATCATAAAAGAAATATTAAGAAAATACTTATATTTTCATAAAATAATCCTAAGTTCTATTTTGCCAATCAGATGGAGAAAGCTGGCAAAAGATGGGCTAAAAAAGGAAGCCGAACCACTTAAAGGACATTTATGTAATAAATGCATCCACTGTTGAGATGCCATAGTAATTCTTTAATATTAGAGTGACACAATCAGACTTGGATTTTATGACTGCTTAGTGGCAGTACAGAATTACTAGTTAGAAAATCATTTGAATCTTGCCCAAGTTTATAAACTGATAGGCCAGAAAAAAAAAAACAAACCATTTGAATAGGCAGAAATAATGAATACCTTAACTAAGAGCAGTGATGATAAGGGCAGAAAAATGACAATTTAATTTTCTCTGATAAAGATAGCTAAGAACTTACTTTCCCAAACACACAAGCAGGCAAACTAAACTTAGTTTTTCAAATTATTTTTCAAATTTATATGCACAAATTACATGGCATACTTAAAAGTGCCAATTAAAATCTAAATTTTCCAATCGATTTAGTCATAAAATTATTCTGAAGAACTATAAAGAACTAATTTTAAGAATTAAGGACTGACATTTACTTTCAAAATTACAAACATTCCCTCAGAAAATGAACACTATAAAATAGAGGAAATATGCTGTCACAGAAGCAGAAAGGCAAACAACTTGTTTTAAAGTATCCTTAGGTCTCATAAGAACTGGATCTAAGTATACAAAACAATTTAAATCAGTAGCCAAAGACATTAAACACCTTTCCATGAAAAGATTTTTTTATTTATAATTGTAAAATCAGATAAATGAATTTAATATTAAAAACATACTGTGTACCTAGCTGAAATTTTTTAAAGTTAATTATTTCACCCATGTCAGTGTACAAGGACCTTACTAGTTATGTAACTTTAAATCTGCCAATAACTTCTTGAGCTCTTTCACCAATAAATCCAGTTTTCACTAATCTGTTATAATAGTACTATTTAAAAGGTCCAAACATTTTTAATTTTCTAACTAGGTAATTAGGAGTAACTTAAATTCTCATACAACTTACCTTTAAGATTCCAGATAATTTTCTATTTTTTTCTAGAATAAACCCAGCTTTCAATATTCTACAGTATTAATCCTCTTTAAAATGTAAACATATTTTTGATATTAAAGAAAGATGACTGCTGAAAATCTATTTAGTACTGCAAAGAGAGGCAGAATAGGCCTTACTAGAATCAAATTTTACAACTTCTCTTCAAACAGGATACAAATATGTTGATTCAAATATCATGAGTTAAAACAAATCTTTTTTTTTTTGACAAAACTCATGACTACTTTTGTGCCAAAACAAATCTTTTGCAAATGGTTTCACCCCAACATAAGCAGCAATGATGCAGATGAAAAAAATTCATTTGGGTTCACTAAGGTATGCCTTTACATTCTTTAAAAAGTAATGGTTTCCCAACCACTTTTTAAAACCTTTTATTTTTTTACAAGTCTTATCCACAATTCCAATATATAGTACAGAAAAAATGCAAAGCACAGCTCTGGTTGCTACACTGGTGGGATTCAAACATCCTCCGCTGGTTTTCCCTAGGAAGATCCTAAAGTGCCTCTTTGGAGTACCAGAAACGCTCATGACAAAAAGTTTTCCTCCAACAGAAACCTTTCTATGTCCTTGTGACAAATAATAAAGAACTAGCTGTAAAGTATCTGTTACCAAGTAAAACATGTAAAAAAATTACTTCAGGTAGCAATTGCAAAACTGTCTTTTACACTTCACTGAAATGCCTTAAAAAGAGTTTGAGGGGTCCAAAGTGGCTCCCGCCGGAGGTCATGGCGCTCGTGAAGGCAAGGTCATCAGTTCAAGGCTAACCTGAGCAACCTCATAAGCTCAAACTGATTGGCAAAAAAAAAAAAAAAAAGAGTTTGAAAGGCTGGATGCAGTGTTCCATGCCTGAAATCCCAGCACTTTGGGAGGCTGAGGCAGGTGGCTCACTTGAGGTCAGGAGCTTAAGACCAGCCTGGCCAACATGGTGAAACCTCACTCTCCTAAAAATACAAAAATGAGCCAGGTGTGGTGGCACGTGTCTGTAATCCCAGCTACTTCAGAGGCTGAGGCAGGAAAATTTCTTGAACCTGGGCGACAGGTTGCAGTGAGCCAAGATCATGCCATGGCATTCCAGCATGGGTGACAGTGCGAGACTCCGTTTCAAAAATAAAAGTAAGAGTTTGAATAAGTCAGGTTTTTTAATACTGTATCTTCATCTTAAGAACTTCATTTTCAATTATAATTTATAAACTATGAAATCAAGTAGCAAAAAAACAGTTCAACTGTTTAGCCCAAAAAACTTGCTCAAACCTATCTAATCATGGAGATCTTTGGGAAGGAATATTTACTACACCTCCTAATATTAAAATTTCTCAGCTCGCGCAGTGGCTCACACCTGTAATCCCAGCACTTTGGGAGGCCGAGGTGGGTGGATCACTTGAGGCCAGGAGTTTGAGACCAGCTTGGCCAACATGGCGAAACCCCGTCTCTATTTAACAACAACAACAAAAAAAATTTCTCAGAAAAGTTGGAAGATACTGCGTGTTAACTGAGGCAGAATACAATAAAAGTACACTTCTTTTAAAACTTGTACTACATTTCACAACAAATGATCTACTTTCACAACCTTTAGGTGGAAAAGTAAATTTGTTAAGATCATAAAAGTTTTTTTCTGCTGGGCATGGTGGCTCACGCCTGTAATCCCAGCACTTTGGGAGGCCGAGGTGGGCAGATCCCCTGAGGTAAGGAGTTCGAGACCAGCCTGGCCAACATGGAGAAACCCCAGCTCTATTATTAAAAAAAAAAAAAAAAAGATTTTTCTTTCCTATTTATTTCTTCTTTTCCAATGTATGCTAGAAATGTAGCTCAGCAGATAGGAAGGGGTGGTTAATGGGAAGTAAACAAGAGGTAGATGAGGTTGAACACAACCATCACTCTCCATAGTCCTAAAAATCATCCTGGATCCCACAAATTCTCCCTGTAACTCTACTGTTCAAACTATTCAATTCTGTAGTCAGATTTGGTTGCTTGTGTTTTCAGTTTCAAAAATCTAGGTTAAAATCTTAGTACATTTTTCATTTTCTCCATATATGCAGTTTTCCAATTTATTCTTCAAATTTGTATGCATAAATTAATTGGCATCTTTAACAGTGCCAATTAAAATGTGAATTTTCCGCTGAGTGCAGTGGCTTACGCCCATTATCCCAACACTATGGGAGGCTGAGGCGGGCAGATTACTTGAGGTCAGAAGTTCAAGACTAGCCTGGCCAACATGGTGAAACTCCATCTCTCCTAAAAATACAAAAATTAGCCTGGCGTGGTGACATGTGCCTGCAATCCCAACTACTTGAAAGGCAGAGGCAGAAGAATCACTTGAGCCCGGGAGGCAGAGGTTGGAATGAACCCAGACCATGCCACTGCACTCCAGCCTAGGCAACAAAACAAGACTCTGTCTCAAAAAAAAATTTTTTTTTTTTTTAAAGACGGGTTTTCACCGTATTGGTCAGGCTGGTCTTGAACTCCTGACCTCAAGTGATCCGCCTGCCTCAGCCTCCCAAAAGTGCTGGGATTACAGGTGTGAGCCACCGCGCCCGGCATCAAAAATTTTAAAAATCTGAATTTTCCAGTCAAATTAATCATAAAAGTATTCCAAAGAACTACAGAACTGATTTTAAGATCTGAAATTCTTGAGCATTTTTTTGCTTCTTAAAAGCAAAACAAAAGGCCAGGCGCGGTGGCTCACGCCTGTTATCGCACAGCGGAGGCCGAGGCGGGTGGATCACAAGGTCAAGAGATCAAGACCATCCTGTCAACATGGTGAGACCCCGTCTCTACTAAAAATACAAAAAACAAAATTAGCTGGACATAGTGGCGCATGCCTGTAACCCAGCTACTCAGGAGGCTGAGGCAGGAGAACTGCCTGAACCCAAGAGGCGGAGGTTGCGGTGAGCTGAGATCATGCCATTGCACTCCAGCCTGGGTAACAAGAGCGAAACTCCGTCTCAAAAAAAAAAAATACTGAAAAATTCATTTTTTAAATTTGTTTCTACCAGTGATATATTTTTAATAGCAGGCAGAAATGGATGCAGAAATGGCATACAGATATCTAATACCACTGTTCTTCGATGTGTAAATTAAAATTATGCTTGTACACAAATAATGCAAGGCCACCAGTTATTTAATTCGATAAAACTGTCCATGTCTACAACACAGACATAAAAGCAAGTATGTTTATAAAGTCCTTAATTATATCCCTAACATTACCAAGGTATGTTAAAACTTTCAATAATTACCAATGAATTCAAATTGGAATATCTTAAAGAAAATACATTTGACTCCAAATTGCAGGCAATTTCAGGCAACTAATCTCCCCTCCAAATATACAAATTTCTAGCTAATTAAGGCTTTTAATTAGTTTAAGCTATGAAGATATAGCAGTGACATTAAAAAATTAAATTCCTTCCACACACACACACACGAAATCTAACCATAATAAATACACATAATGGTCACCTGCAAATCCTTATTTTGTATTTCATAACCCAGTTTCAGGTGCCTATACTTTCTGAAGGAAAACTCTCCTGTGCCATAAACCTGCAACTGCTACTCACTACTCACTACTATGGAGGTACACAAGAATTAATCCATGTTATGGTGAAGCTCATTAAATTAATCTATTTGAAAAATCAATTAATACTTGCAAATTTAATTTCCTAAAATCTGAAACTGTCAGAAGACTTACCTGATTTGTCTGGCTACTTAAGTATGGCTCAAAATCATCATCATTTACAGCATCTTTTTGATGAATCGAACCGTTTTGTACTGAAACTAAAAAATATGTTTGTATTAGAAGTGTTGCAGTTATGAAACTCACAGCACAACCTAATGTTTTTAGTATTTTTCAAGCCAAAAAAAGTAATCAGAAAAATAATACTGAGTTATTTTCTTTTTCAGGACCCTCTAAAGGATAAACTATTTTAGATACAAATGTTTATGTGCCACAAAAACTTAGAAGTCCTTTGATATATAAGCCCAAGATTACATAAACGCAAGCCATATACACAAGCCATATATACACTTCCTCTTATCAAAAACTTTAAGTAAATATCCCAGTTTCAACACTGTAGTGAGTAAACTGTTATATAAGGATGTTGGAAAGAGTTCCCTAATGCTGTATTCGAATCTAAAATAACTAATTCAAGTAGTGTTGTAGGCAATAAAAAAGATTTCTGAATGTTCTCTACCTTTGTTTAAATCTCCAAATTATTTAATCTAATTAATAGTGAAATAACTATTTTTGATCTAATGTTACAGTAAACATCTTAAATGTCTCCAGTACAGTTTAGGCTATAATTAACTTGAAACAATTCACAATGAACAAACTTAAAATTATGAAATATCTACATAGGGCTGTAATTCTAACCCCCCAAAAATGAAGACTTTCACATGAAACTATAAATAAAATTAATACACAAAAGATAACCATAATTATTCTTACAACACATGAGAAAACAAGTCAGAGAATAATTTTGTTCAAAGGTCATCTCCATAAACACTTTAAAGTTGTTACTCTCTGGATGCTGTTTCACATTGCTTTTGAGCAGACTCCAGAAGTAAGGTCCTGAATTTGTATCTCAAGTCCACCACTGAGGAGATGATCTCCAGTTAGGGATTTAACCTTTCTAACCCTTGACTGTTTCTCTGTTCCAGAAGATTATTAATTGTGCCTATCTCATCTCATCTGTATATTAAATGGCAGCGCTAAATAATCTTAGATATTATCCCATTATGTATCACAAGATCCAAATAGGACTAAAAATGACTTGATCCATTTAAACAGACGTGTTACTAGACTAATATTTGATGGGTGGCATTATGTAAATATACTATTCTATATGGCTGTTCACAAATTAAAAACAAAAAGAACTCACTAAAGATTTATTGCTTAAAGATGATAAAACAACACCAAATTTTACGCAGTTCGGGGGGCGGGGGTGATGGGTTTAAGTTGTATGCCTCTGTAACATGGTAACATTTTTATTATCCCTAAATTTTCCCATGAATGTAGAGCACCTGAAATGTAGTATGAGTTAACAGTGGCTTGGGAGCAAATATATACAAAATCCCTTAATATTCTGCCATACAATATGTAGCAAAGATCACTCAAAGATAATGCTACTGTATGAAGCCTTCAAAGTAGACTTCTTATTATACCACATTGTCCCTCAGAAGCTGCAAGAGCAACCTGAAGCTCAACTTTATCCTGGCTCCATTAAGGTAATTTAACTACGTCTGATAAGGACTGCATCAAACTAGGGTTCAGCTAAATGTGCTCCACGGAATTTAAATATGTAATAGCCACTAGAAACCAAAATAAAGAGGGTGCCTTAGGTTACTTCCAGTGCCATTTTAAGGCTTGGTTAATCATTTCAGGCCAAGAGATTCTTACATACTGTTCCTCTGACACTGGCTTTACTGCTCCTAAATCAAAGGTAGTTATGCATGGTCTATTACTTCTTAAAAAAAATTTTTCACTATTACACTCGTACATATAGTCAATGTTTGAAACAGCTAGCAACTTAAAAATTACGACTATCTACCTCTCGTATCCACTAGGTTCTCAAAAATCTAGTTCATACAAATACAAAAAGGGCCAGGCCAGGAGCTCAAGGCCAGGCCTGGGCAACAAAGGGAGATCCCACCTCTACGAAAATGTTTAGAAACTAGCCAGGTATGGTGTCACGTACCTGCAGTCCTAATTACTCAGGAGTCTAAGAAGAATCACTTGAGCCCAGGCATTCCAGATTACACTGAGCTATGATTATGCCACTGCATACCAGCCTAGGCTACAGAGCAAGACCCTGTCTCTATTTACCAAAAAAAAAAAAAAAAAAAAAAGTACTTAAAATTTATGTGAATATATATTTTACTGTTATTCTTAACTTATTTCTTCTGTTCTATTCTTTCTCTTCTAAGAGGCTGGGTCTGAGAACAACTCATACACTATTATAAATACAGTCCACAGTAATTTTTAAATGATGCATAAATGTCTACAAAGTCTTATAGTACAAGAAGTCAATTTACTTAAAAAAATGTTCAATTAAAAGTACTTCACATATACTGACAAGCAATTTGCATTAAACTCCAAATAAAATAGTAATTAGCCCTTACAAGTTTCGCAAGTCTATCTTTAAGAAAACTGTCTTAAAGACGTTAGTTTTTGAATATTACTTAATGACAAGCTAACATCTTGAAGTCTAAAAGCCATTAAATAGCAATGAAATCCAAGCTAGTTCCACAGTCTGCAAAAGTTCTTCAGGGGAAAAAAGAACAGATGACTTACATGATTCTTCGCCTGTTTCCTCTGCTCTATGAAACAGAGTCAAATCAAGATAGAACATGGGCCTTAGGAGCCAGGTGATTCTTTGCTCTGGTCCTGACTACATCAAGTTAGGAAAGTCAACAGATCTGTGCATCATGTTTCCCCACCTACAAAAACAGCGACAATACCATATACCCTCTATCTCCTTATAAGAATGTTGTGAGGATAAAATGAAGCCTAAAATAGTGACAGTAAAGCTTTGAAATCATTTCTCGGGAGGATGAGGAAAGAATACAACAGAATATTGCCAAAATATACAAGGCATTTTCCACTACTTTTCTGAAAATTAAAACAGCCAAATTTAACCTATATAGTTGTATAAAACAATGCACATGCCTCTCTGTTGGGAGAGTAAAGGAAAAACATAAATCCTGTTCCACGAGTTTGCTGTTTATAAACTAAGGAAAACGAGAAAGGAGGCAGTAAGGCCTAAGACTAGAAGTATGGCATCTGACACTTCCATCCACAGTACTCACAAGTAAAAGCACAGCACACCTTTACTCCAATAAGCAAAAATTCTACTTCTTAATAAAAAAATAAAATACGAAGTCAGTGTTAAAATTATGAACCAAAAGACAAATAAATCTCCTTAAATTTCTACTATCCTTTTGTACTACTCTTGCCAAGGATAATAAGGAGTTCTGATATTTAACATAAAGACAATCTATTAATTAATGAAGAATTTGAATTCATAAAACAAACCTAGAATTATTACTTATTCTACAAAAATATTTTTGCCTTACCAAAGACACTTATTTAGAATCCCTTTTGCCTTCTATAATGAATTAAGTCATCAAGGATATATAGAAAATCAAAGACACTCAAACTAGGTGTTAGGCTAATGCTGTCAACTAAAGACAATTCAGAAAAGAAACACAGAATCTCTGAAATTAGAGGAAGTTGACTGAAAAGGTATTTGTTCAAACCTTTGACACCAACTTCTCAAGGACATACTATTTTTCGTAAGCTTGATAAGTTCTGAATTCAAGATTACTCATATTTAGAATACTGAGCTTGTAGTCCATGAAAAATAACTTCATAAAAGTAAACAGAATTGTAACACAATTTAACTAGCTGGAATCAAGCTAAGGCAGAATAGTTTTTCTCAAATACCCACATAGCTACTTATATCAGGTTCACTGGTGGTGCTGCCTTTGCCTTGTGATTCTCCCTGCAGAGGCATAAAAATACAAGTACTGTATATGTGTATTTGAGCGCATCTGCCATTTTTAAGGAACTTAAATAATTAGCTATATTTTCAGGCCAGTAGCAGTTTTCCCCTCCTGCCAAGGCTCTATGCAAGGGAGTTTTCCTGCACCTTAAAAATAGAGTAAGTGGGGAAGGTGAAAAGAAATCCAGCAAATATAATTGCTACCAGAGGGATAACTATTGTAATTACAAGAATCCTCACAACATACCATAGGAATGACTAGAGTTATTACTTTTATTTTATAGAGGGGAGATTCTGATGAATAGGTAGAATGTTCGCAAGCTCACTTGGCAAGTCAGTAGCCAAAGGCAGTATTAGAACTCAGGACTCAAAGGAATCCCAATCCATCATTCTAACTTAGGATGAAATTACTGAACAATAAGGAGGAAAGAAAGAAAATTTCTTAAGAATAAAGAACTATCAAAATAAACACTCTGTGTATATGTCTGCATACACCTAACAAAAGTGATACTGATGGATAAAAAAAATTTTAAGTAACCCAAAAATACTTATTTACAAACTACTATATATTATGTAGTTTTTAGATAAATCTATTTTTTTTTTTTTTAGTAGAGACAGGGTTTCTCTTGACCTCATGATCCACCCACCTCAGCCTCCCAAAGTGCTGGGATTACAGGGGTGAGCCACCAAGCCCGGCCTATAGATAAATCTAACATCAAAGATGACACCAGTGCCTACCTAAGTGAAATGACCACTCATAAATCAAACTTATTTTACTCACAATGCTGTAGAGGTTCTATTTTGTTTTATCAAACAAGTTAAGTACTTCAAAGAACTTGTGTACTTACCTTAAAGCAGGTAACACAAAACACTTAGCATTTCAAATAGCCTTGCAAAGTGCCACCTCCCCACAGATCTAGGATAAAATAATTTATGCTAGGCAATAATGACCACAATTTCACAATCTCCAAGTCTATATACATTCTAATGGGTAGACTAATAAAAAAAGAAATTAATGGATCATTCTTTTTAAAATTCAAATTTTTATTTTTATTTTTTTGGTGGAAAATTCAAATTTTTTAAAACTCATTTAAAATAAATCAACATCCAATTTTATTTCAGGTTTACGCTTACAACACAAAGAAAAATTCTAGAAATAAAATGTTAAAAATTAAAATGTCTAAGTGTTTATATACTGCAAGAAAACATCTTTAATAAAAACAAAACAATAAATTTGTTACCTAATATGGTGCTATGTAGCTAGTATGTACAAATCATACAATTCAAATGAAATTAATCTACACATTTAAATTAACCAAATTTGCAATAGCAAATAAATACCCTAACAAGAATTTAAAGGCAATCTACATCTAAAAGGCTACTACAGATTTTAATTTCTAACACTGTGTTACTGAAATCAACAGAAAGCATAATTCTAGTGTAATTTCAAGCACTACAAAATGTTATAAATAAATAATTTGCTCTGATGTTATTTAATTGGCACTATCCCAAGAAAGCAGTTATTGTTCTATACTTAACTAAATGTCACATGACTAATGTCATAATGTTTCAGTCAGCTGACTGTACTGTTCCATATTAATAAATACAAAACACACTTTAAAAAAACACTTTATTTTCAACGGTACATTTACAAATCATAAAATCTTGGAAGAAATGTCACAAATTATTTTCTTCTCAGTCCTTTATAAAATACTATCTTGAGTCACACCTTGCAATCAGGACTACACAGCAAGATGGCATGCCTACTTAGTTCTAATTTCTCTCATGTTGTTGCCTCATTGCAACTGACTTGAATAGAATTAGTGATTAATAGTACAATTTTCATTCATGTGATGGGATATTATGTATAGTTCCATTTTCCAGTGTAGTCCAGACATGTCAAACAAAATGTCCACTTTAAGAAGACACTTTTCTACATACATATGTGGAAATTTTTGTGGCATTAGTTACATAACACAGATAAACTGGAAAACTGAAGAAATATCACTAGGTACATACCAATACCTGCTCAACTGACATACACCTAAGAAAACTATTTCTTGTACTACTTTAGTTTCTATAAAGTGGCTTCAAAGGAACGAACTACCAAAGTTCTAGATACAACTTGGCTACCTTAGCCATGTGTATATTGTCTCTAATCCTACATTTTTCCCCAAGAGGGAGCAAAAACAAACAAAAAGCCCTCAGAGTTTAAAAGTTACATCAAGGCAACATTAAGCAGTAACAAAAAAAAATTCCAAACTCACCTTTATTTCCTTGCCCTTTAGGTCTCTGTGTAGCAAGACGAAAGATACAGTAGAAAAACGAAAAAGGAAGAGAGAAACAGTGTTAATCAAAGACATTATCAAAGACAAGTTATTTTAGACTATCCGCGTAGGAGTAAAAACCCACCATATCCTCCACAGCCACTAATTTCCCAACCACCCCCAGCCTTCAAACCTCCCACCCGCCACTCGAAATCCGTCTCCCAGAGCTCGCCCGGTCTCAACCCCATGTCTGTCGCCCTCAGGATGTGTCCTAGGCCCGTAAGAGCGGTCCTCGCTCCCACACAGCGCGGCACCGCGCCCGCCCGCCCGCAGGCTTCGGGGCCAGGGCGCACGCCCCGGCCCAGGCAGCTGCACCGCAGCAACTTGCGCCGAGGCACCGTTATGGGGCCGGCAGCGGCGGCGACGGGGAGGAGCCGAAGCCCCGCGCGAGGGTGGAGCTCCGGGGCTCCGGCCTTTGCCGAGCCCGCGGCCTCTGCTCCCTCACCTGATCCACGCTAGTGGCTGACATTCTTCACCGCAACCCGAGAGCCGCCGCCGCCGCTGCCTGGGCCTCTCCCCGTGCACTCACAGCAGCTGGCTGTCGCCCTTGGCCGAGTGATTGTTCCAGCCGCCGCCGCTGCCGCCGCCCGCTGAGAGCCCAAAATGAGGGCCTCGCGCTCGGGAGTCGGAGGAAGAGGCCCGTCTTTTCCGCTTGCACGCTCCTCTTCCCCCTCTCGCTCTCCGCTTCTCGGGTCCACAATGGCGGACAGACTCCCTGGTCTCACTTCCGCTCCGAGCCTCCCTGACCTTCCGCTCTCCACTCTGACGTCCGCGCTCACCTCGCTTTTCCTCCCCCACCCTCCCGCCACCGACCTTGGCTCCGCCTCCGCACCTCCACGTCACCGGAGACGGGACCCGCGCTGACTGCCCGTGGGCGCATGCGTAGTGGAGGGAGCGGTTGGGGCTCCCGTGAGCGCCGACCTCCAGCGTCTCTTCTCCGGCTTCCCGCTGTCCGGCTCCGAGGCAACAGGGCTCGGGCAGAGAGGCGTCAGCTGGAAGGCTGGTCAGAGCCGGATTTTGTCGCACTCTGCGCAGGAAGATGGCCGAGGCGATGGCTGGCAGAGATGGTAGAGCTTGGCTGACGGCCCGGCGGCCGGCGGCCCCCTCCTGTAGGCGGACTGGACTGAGACAGGGAAGATCCCTCAGAGCGGGCCGGGCCTAGCGGGAGCCTACGGAGGCCGCGGGCACTGCTAGCTGACTCATCAGCCCTCGGGACAGAGCTGCTGCGTCCCTGCAAGCCTGCACGTGCGGCAAAAGTGGCGGGTTCGAGCTGTGGTACTCAGACAAGCCCAAGCAGACAGGAGCACCGACGCGGGTTCAGCCTCCAAACCCGGTGCAGCCGTAATCTTTGGAGTCAGAGTTCGCCGCCCAGTTCATGGATTTGTGCTTTGAACCCGCTCTGATTTTTTCGAATGAATAAAGCTGCTGGGGATACTTAAGTTTAGTTGCAGAATGTCTTTTCGGCCCTAAAAAGAGGGAACATTTCCATCGAAAAAGTTACTTTTCCACGTGTTGGCAAAGCCAAAGGATGCCAATTTGCCAACATGTTGACATTTTTATTGAAATATCTACAATAAAGGCAAAGATTCCTTGTCTTTCGGTGATACGCACTCCATGGAAGGAAATAATTTAAATGACCAAACACTTTCTGGACTTCAAAACCATCAAATAAGTGATCATTTAGAAAGTATAATTGTAGAATAAGATTAATGTAGTTTACAGTGGAACAGTATTTTAGAAGCACTAAATAATAGAAAAACTTGAGAGACCACTTTTCGTGTAAATCACCAAGAGGCATTTTTATGTTCTAGTCAGCCAGTTTTCCTTGACCTCCCATTCACTGCCACAGGTCCCAACCTGAGCACCCCTGCATTTGCCAAGACTCCCAACGCCCTTTCTGCTGTTGCTCCCAATGTCTGCCATCCTTCACTCCCAAACAGACCATTTTAGTTTTAATGAGTTTGCTGGTACATGCTATGAGCCAGGAACTTCAGAGAGAATATCCAAGAGGAGGCTTATGAAATCTTGCAAGCCTTCACTTTGATCCTTAATATCATGGCTTTGGAACCTAACCAGTCCGAGTTTGAATTCTAAGTGGAGCAAGAATTAGTGGTATAACGTTGGTAAAGGCACTGAAACTTTCTATGCCTTAGCTTCCTCATAGGTCAAATTAGGTCCTATGTGTACAGTTCCCGATGCAAGAGTAAGCCTTCAACAAATTGTGGCTTTATACAGCTAGGGAATCGCTTCTTTGCTAAAAGATTCCCAGAAATAGTAATTGCTTACATTTATTGAGAAGACATTATATGCCAGGCACTGTGATAATCATTTTAATTCCCAGCATCTTTGTAGAAGTGCCATTAAAAGTGAGGTTAGGAAACATGCCACAAATAACACAACTAGTCACTATGAGAGTCAGGATTTGAACTCAAGCAGTTTGGCTCCCAAGTTGCTACTCTAATATACCATATAATATTGCCTAACGACGTAATGTTATGAGCTTTTGTTCTCTTTCATTTCTTCTCAACAAACTTCTTGCTTCTTATGGCTTTTCTTCCTAGCAATGAGGTCTGAACTTGCTGAATGCAGTGCTAACTACCCTCAGATATAAACCTGTTTAATATTAGCAGACTTTTGAAGTACATGTAGGGACTACCTAAAACCATCTCCAATGCCTCCAGGAGTGTATTACATGAAGACGTACCTGAGACTGAGAAGAAAAAAGAGTTTTAATTGGACTTACAGTTCCACATGGCTGTGGAGGTCTCAGAATCATGGCAGGAGGCAAAGGCACTTCTTAATATGGCAGCAAGAGAAAATGAAAAGCAAAGTTGGGAAACCCCTGATAAACCCATCAGATCTCATGAGACTTAATTCACTGTCATGAAAATGGCACAGGAAAGATCAGCCCCATGATTCAATTACTTCCCCCTGGGTCTCTCCCACAATATGTGGAAATTCTTGGAGACAAAATTCAAGTTAAGATTTGGGTGAGGACATAGTCAAACTATATCATTCTGCCCTGGCCCCTCCAATTTTCATTTTCTCATATTTAAAAACCAATCATGCCTTGCCAACAGTCCCCCAAAGTCTTAACTCATTTTAGCATTAACCCAAAAGTGTACAGTCCAAAGTCTCATCTGAGACAAGGCAAGTCCTTTCAGCCTATGAGCCTATAAAATCAAAAGCAAGCTAGCTACTTCCTAGATACAATGGGGGTACAGGTATTGGGTAAATACAGCCATTCCAAATGGGAGAAATTGGCCAAAACAAAGGGTTACAGGACCCATGCAAAGGGCAGTCAAATTTTAAAGCTCCAAAATGATCCCCTTTGACTCCCAGTCTCACAACGACGTCAGGCTGATGTAAGAGGGGGGTTCCCATGGTCTTTGGCAAGGAGGATGGAGACGATATTTTGAAAAATGCTGCCACGGAACCTAGATTCTAGATAAAAATGCACTCTTGCCGGGCATGGTGGCTCATGCCTGTAATCCCAGCATTTTGGGAGGCCAAGGCGGGAGAATCATCTGAGATTGGGAGTTCGAGACCAGCCTGACCAACATGGAGAAATCCCATCTCTACTAAAAATACAAAATTAGCTAGGTGTGTGGCACATGCCTGTAACCCCAGCTACTTGGGGAGGCTGAGGCAGGAGAATTGTTTCAACCCAGGAGGTGGAGGTTGCGAAGAGCTGATATAGCGCCATTGCACTACAGCCTGGGTAACATGAGCAAAATTCCATCTCGAAAAAAAAAAAAAAAAAATGCACTCTTCTACAGAGCCTCTAGGGTATGTCAGCCTTCTGGAGCACACAGCACAGCACAAAGTTGAGGGCAGGCTGGAATTAAGGCCCATTTTCCCTCAGACAACCTTGGTGTTTGTGTATGTGTGTGTGTATTGTTGTTGCTTGTTGTTTTGTTTAATTATAGAGACATGGTCTTGCTATGTTGCCCAGGCTGGTTTCCAAGTCCTGGATTCAAGGGATCCTCCCACCTCGGCCTCCCAAAGTACTGAAATTATAGACAGTGAAGTTCCATTCTGCACAACTGTAACTTCCATATTGATACATGTATTGATACTTGTATCAATGCAGATTAGGTTCAGCTACAAGTGGTATCAAGTTCAAGACAGGAGCTGAAGATAGAAATCTCTTTTTCTCATACAGCAGCAGTCTCAAGATAGTCCAGAACTTGAGTTGCCACTGTTTGAGATATCCAGATTTCTTCTAGTCTGTTCCTCCACTATCCTCATTACGATACCTCTACCTGTGGTCCTTGATGGCTGCTTGGATTCCAGCAATCATAATCAATATACCCACCAGCAGAAAAACAAGGTTAAGAAAGCTCATCGCTCTCCTTTAAGGACAAGTTGTTGAAATTGCATTTTCCATTTGTATTAGTTTGTTTTTGCATCACTATATAGGTATATACAAGACTGGGAAACTTATAAAGAAAAGAGGTGTAGTTGACTCACAGTTCTGCAGGCTATACAGGAAGCATGGTGCCAGCATCTGCTTGGCTTCTGGTGAGGCCTCAGAAAGCTTACAATCATGGCAGAAGGCAAAGGGAGAGCTGACTTACACGTAGTGAGAATGGACACAAGAGTGAGGTGGGAAAGGTGCCATACACTTAAACAACCAGATCTCCTGTAAACTCAGAGAAAGAACTCACTCATCACCAAGGGGATGGTGCTAAACCATTCATGAAAGATCTGTCCCAATGATCCAAATGCTTCTCCCCCCTCAACATTGGATATTACATTTAATGGTGAAATTTGGAGAGGACACACATCCAAACTATATCACCATTTCTGGCTACTTCCTACTAACTAAAACATAGTTTCTTACAAGTACTTAGTTAAGTGAAAGCTGGAAAATATATTCTGAGGGGCCATGTATTCAGTTAAAAATGAGGGAGCTGGCCAGGTGCAGTGGCTCAAACCTATAATCCAGCACTTTGGGAGGCCGAGGCAGTGGGTCACGAGGTCAAGAGATCGAGACCATCCTGGTCAACATGGTGAAACCCCATCTCTACTAAAGATACAAAAAATTAGCTGGGCATGATGGCGCGTGCCTGTAATCCCAGCTACTCAGGAGGCTGAGGCAGGAGAATTGCCTGAACCCAGGAGGCGGAGGTTGCTGTGAGCCAAGACTGCACCATTGCACTCCAGCCTGAGTAACGAGCAAAACTCCGTCTCAAAAAAAAAAAAAAGGGGGGAGCTTTTCACTAAAAAAGAAGGGGAAAGTGGATGGAGAGATACTTAGTAATAAACTCTGTGCCTAGTAATTTCCTGATTCGCTTTGTTGACTAGCAGCACTTAAACTTATCTTTGCATATTACCAGAGTTTAAGCCAAAATTTCTAAGGCTTCTGTCATCTTTAAATGACACAATACATGAACTAACTGTAGAAAATTCAACTTGAGGTTCGACTGATGCATTTTTAAAGGAGGTATCCGTAAATATCGTCCTTAAGGTGAAACCACGAATATCTTAGAAGGACACTGAATAAAGTAAAAAATCAGTCAATCAATCTGCTTTGAAACAGAAAAGCCAAAACTTTTCCATTCATTCTTATGCTTACCGCAGAGAAATTTACAGTGACAAGAAAAAGGCAGCAGAAAACATCAAGTAAGCTTAAGATTTGCTTAAAGCAATTTCCTGAAACCATTTCCTTGGGACTAGCAGCAACAGCTTCTACAATTAAATGCAGATTCTCAGGACCCCACCCTTGCTTAGGGAATCAGAAGCTCTAGGGTTGGGAGCAAAAGTCCATTTTTTTTTTTTCAAAGAAGACAGTCGCAGTGGCTCAAGCCTATA